GAGAGTTTTTTTAGTCAATTCTGTCATATTCTACATAAACATTGATCTGCTAATAAAGACAGTTTTATTTCTTCCTTTCCAATTGGTAAACCTTTTATTTCCTTTTTTTTGCCTCATTGCATTGGCTAGGATTTCCAGTACAAGGTGAAAGCTTAGATGATTGATGCATTCAGTACTATCAATTTCCTTCTAAGCATTGCTTTCACTGCATTACACAAATTTTAATAAGTTGTATTATCTTTTTTATTTAGTTCAAAATATTTTTTTTTATATCTCTTGAGATTTCTTCTTTGACCCATGTGTTATTTAGAAATGTTTTGCTTAATCTTTATGTATTTTGGGTAGTTTCAGTTATTTATTAATTTCTAGTTTTCTTCTATTGTAGTCATGGTACAATTTCTATGCTTTACATTTGTTAAATTGTGTTATATGGCCCAGAATGTGGTCTACCTTGGCGAACGGTCCATGTGGGCTTAATGAGAAAATATCCTGCTGTTTTGGGATGAAGTAGCCTATAAATATTAAATATATTCAGTTGATTGATGGTGGTGTTGAGTTCAACTAGGGCCTTACTGATTTTTCTGCCTGCTAGATGTATCCATTTCTGATAAAAGGATGCCAACTATAATAGTAGACTCATCTGTTTCTCTTTACCCCTGATAATTGTTCTTGCTTTGAAGTCTGCTCTAATTGAAATTTTAGCTGCTGCTGCTTTCTTTTAATTAGTGTTAGTATGGTATATATTTTTTCTCCACCCATTTACTCTTAATCTATTCATGTCCTTATATTTAAAGTGGGTTTTGTGTTGACAAGATATATTGGTTCTTATTGCTTCATTCTTTAAAAAAAATGTATTTGTATTGATTTCAGAGAGGAAGGGTGAGGGAGAGAGAGAAAAAAACATTAATGATGTGAGAGAACCATCAATCGGCTGCCTCCTGCATGCCCCACATTGGGGATGGAGCTGGCAGCCCAGGCATGTGCCCTGACAGGGAATGGAACTGTGACCTCCTGGCTCAGAAGTCGATGCTCAACCACTGAGCCATGCTGGCTGGGCTCTTTTATCCATTCTGAGAAGATGTACACACAAGCACACATAATCATATATACTGTTGTTATTTTGAACAACCTGTCATCTGTTAAATCAATTAAGAAAAGTAAAAGTGTTTATTTTACTTATCTTTGACACTCTTCTCTTTATATAGATCCAAGTTTCTGACCTACATTATTTCCTTCTCTCTATAACATTTCTTAAAAGGTAGGTCCAATGGTTACACATTCTCTCTATTGTTATTTGCCTGAGAAAGTATTTTTCCACTTTTCAAGTATAATTTTATAGAATGCAGAATTCTAGGTTCATAGATTTTCTGTCTTAACACTTCAAATTTTCACTTATCTCCCTTCTTGCTTGCATGGTTTCTGAGATGTAATTCTTATCTTTGTTCCTCTATAGATCATGTATTTTTGTCCTCTGACTTGTTGAAATTTCTTTTTTTATTGCTGACTTTCTAGTTTGAAAATGTATGTGTCTGTGTATTTTTTTCCCTCAGATTTATCCTGTTTGGTGTTCTCTGAGCTTCATGACTCTGTAGCTTGGTGTCTGGTATTAATTTTGGGAAATTCTCATTCATTATTGTTTCAAATATTTCTCTGTTCCTTTCCCTCTTTCTTCTCTTGATATTCCCATTACACATATGTTACACCTTTGAAGTTGTTCACATTTTCTTGAATATTCTGGAGTTTTTTGAGTCTTTGTTCTATTAGCTTTTCAGTTTTTGATGCTTTCATGAATATACCCTCTACTTCAGAGATTCTTTCTTCAGTTACATCCAATCTATTAATGAACTCCTCAAAGGTATTCTTCCTTTCTGTTTCAGTGTTTTTTGTTTGGTTTGGTTTGTTGAGTGTGTGTGCATGCATGTGTGTGTGTGTGTGTGTGTGTGTGTGTGTGTGTGTGTGTATTTTAGTTCTTTCTTAAGATTTCCATATCTCTGTTTGGAAATCTGATCTTGCTGTCTACTTTATCCATTAGAGACCTTAGCTTGCAAAGTATAATTGTTGCAAAACACTGTCTGGTAATTCCAACATTCCCGCCATGTTTGGCTCTTATGTTTATGCTCTCTACAAATTGTCTTTTTTGCTTTTTGGTATGCCTTTTGATTACTTGACAGATATACGTGATGTATTTGAACAAGAAGAACTGTGAGTAGTAGGCCTTTAGCAATATGGTGGTACGGTGTGGAGAGAGGAAGCATTCTATTGTCCTATAATTAGGTCTCGGTCTTTTAGTGATCCTCTGGACTGTGAGCTTCACCAGTGTTTCTCAGTCTTCCCCTCCCCTTATGGCTAGAAGGAGCTGGAGTTGGATATTTACCTTATTATTAGTTAGGCTCTGGTGATAACTCAGCAGATTAAGCTGTGGTTACTAGTTTCTACTAAAAGCTGACCTTGCTAAGAAGAACAGAGTGCTCTGGCATATTTCAGAATGGTTTTATCCCCCACTATCCCTCCACCAGAAACATGAGAATATTTTTCTCTAACATTTATTATAAGAGACTTGTTGAGCTTCTGGAGGAAAATCTCACAAAACTGTGAAAGTTTCCCATAACTGGGTCCCCCCAAAGTCTTTAATTCTCAGAGTTTTCCACAATGAGTCTCCAACAATTAATCAACTATAGTTCAGGTTTTCCTACCTGTGGCTGGTTCCCAGGGTAGTTTCTATACTCATTAATCTCTTTTCTGGGAAGGCATTACTCCCCGTGTCCATCTGACAATCTCAATCTTGGGGCAGCAGTTTGTCCTGTGTCCTCCCCTCTCTATGGGTCCAAGAAAAACTATTGATTTTCAGTCTCTTCAGCTTTATACTTGTTGTTAGGACAATGGCAACTTCCATGCTCCTACATGTGGAACTGGAGACCACTACTGAACATTTTTAGAACATTTTATTCTTTTTATTCTTTTTGCCAAGATGCTTACATGGAATCCAAAGTAACAACTTCAACAGCTATCCCTGAAAAGGGGTAGCTCCCAGACAAGTGTGTGAGATAGAGCATCTTCACTACTCAGACACTCAGCCCCACCAGAATCCCACAATTGGCTTCACTCAGGGATACTGATGCATTCTTTTAACACTTATAAGAAAGACAGAGACCACCTTGGGTGTCAACTATCAGGTTTAACTCTCAGAGGGAATCTTTATCCTTTATGTCACAGTTATTTACGAAGGAGTGAGACACCCAGTGTTCATCAATGTAGACCTCAGAACTTTCCTTAATTAACTGAACAACTTGTAGACCTGAAGTAATTATGACTTCCAAAGCAGGTGATCCAGTGAGCCTGCTTTTAAAGAGTTGCCAAAGAATCCACCTGTCTCATAGCTCCCCCTTTGCTCATGCAAAGCATTTCATGGAAAACCAGTCCATAGCTGTCCCCAGGTAAACTGACACCACTCAAAATTGCTCTGTCTAGGGGGAGAGCGGAGCATCTATTCTCCTTCTATATAAGTGCTTCAGGTGTCCACACATACTCTTAAAAAGTCAGAGGTGAATTGGGATTATAATTGACACTTACCTTATGACTATAGACATTTTATAGCATACTAGAGGCCAAATGCATGGAAATTTATGCACTGGAGGAGGGGGGGTCCCTCAGCCCAGCCTGCCCCCTCTCACAGTCTGGGAGCCCTCAGAGGTAGGAGGTGACCTGGTGAATAGCAAAGGTGACGCTTTATCACACCTCTGCTGCTGCCACCGCCATCAGTGCAAGACTCAGCTAGCCCTGGTTACCTGAGCCTTCTGTGGTCCTGAGAAGCTGGGCAGCCACCATCAGTGGCATACTGCACCTCAGGCCAGCCCTGTGCAGCTGGGAAACTGGGCAGCCACCATCCAAAGTTTGCCTGTGCCCTGGATGGCTGGGATACAGTAAGTACCCCTGGGTGGCTGGGATACAGGAGGTATGCACACAGAGCAGCCTGTCCCACCTGGGGACAGGCCTGGCTTTGCCACATGCCTGCCACCCCAGCAGGGCTGAAGGGACTGGGCACAGCCATCTTGTGGTTGTGGGTATTGCCATCTTTGAGAGCAGAGCAGTCAATTAGCATATTTCCTCCTTATTGGCTGTGGATGCCACCATCTTTTGCAATGGCATGAGGGTCAATTAGCATATTCTCTCTTTATTAGATAGGATATTTTATTCATAAGATGCTATATCACTAGGAGTAACCAAATCCTTCTTTGAAAGCCAAGCCCTGTCTAAATTTCTATTCAGAAATTTGAGACCTTAAAAAAAGGTTTCTTTTCCTGATCATTTCATGAATACCTTGAATTATTTTTTCTCTCATAGAAATATTAAGTTATATTTTCACGGGAAACAGCATAGCAAAAATTAGATTTTTAATGGGAAATTTTACCTAACCCACAGCTTCATCTTAAAATAAAAAACTGGGGAACTGCACATTAATCCCAGATTCAGCCCTTATCCACTACTTCTCTCTCACCCTGGTTCACTCCCTTGTGGGACAGAAACTGTGTATTATTTATTTTTTTATTTTTGCATAACACATTGAATTATAGTATTCAAAAAATATTTTGTGATGAATTAGCCTTCTTGATAAACTATTGTCAAATAAGCGTGTGCTTCAGGAAAGAAAAAAGAACATTTAAAACATTTTAAACTTTATTTTTTTACCCTAACTCATAATAAAAAATATATTTACATTATAACCATTATATACATATGAACATATATGTATACATCTATCTAAAACAAATTTTAAAACTAAAAAACAACTTAACCTCCTGATAGCTGATGATTTTGGTTATTTATTCCATTTCATTTTTAAATATGCTACTCATGACCCACTGCTAGATTTCATGACATCTAATGGTTTGTGATTCAGTTAGAAAAATATTGATTTAGAAAACTATTTTCTGGAAACAAATATGGAAGCAAGCAATAAATAAATAAACTATTTAAAAAGTTTTAGAATAATGGTTACTTACATGGTTGATGCCAACACAACATGGGGCGGGGTCTCTTGATAATATGGAAGGAACGGCCTGGGGGTGAAAGAAAAATACAAATATGTGGGACTTTTACATTGAGTGCACTGTTTTCCCCCACTGAGCTTGAATAGCCTTTTATGTCAGTGATCCTCGAACTGTTGACGTACATAAAATCACTAGGGAGGGGAGAGATTCTTGTTCAAAGTGCGCAGTCCCAAGTCTAGACCAGGGGATGCAGAGCCAATGAGGCTGTACCTTTAACAATTGCCACAGTGTCTTCTCTGCAGGTGGGAAACAAGGAACACTTTGAGAAGCAATGCCCTATACTTGGGCTTTAATTGGTCATTAGCCTCCAGAATTCTCAAGTTCCCTGAGACATTCTGACATTCCCAATGATTTAGTTTTAAAAATTTCCCCCCAAAAGTCTAGGAATTGAGTATACTCTGTTAAGAACTTAATATTTCTCTGAAAAAGTCAGCATCATAAAATGCCCATAAGGAGTTTGCTCATAAATAATAATGTGGACTACCGTTTTCCCCAAAAAACAAGACATCCTCCGAAAATAAGACCTATTTACAGGTTTCCTTCTGAGTGAAATATAAGGCATCCCGCCGACAAAAAGGCCCCCCTAGGCTAAACATGAGAGATTTGGTCCACTGATTCTGAAAGAAATGGAGTCACAAGAAATTCACAGGGAAATTCAGGAATTGGATGTTCCAGAAGATGATGACTTGATTGTCATTGAATAAATGAGTAAATTCTTGATACTGTAGGATTCACAGTTTGTCTGGTTTGTGTTGACAACTACCATACTACCGTACCGTATACAGGTAATAAATTTCCTTTATTTTAACAATAAATGTGTACCGTATTCTTCTTCATGGAAAAATAAGACATCCCCTGAAAATAAGACCTAGCGCATCTTTGGAAGCAAAAATTAATATAAGTCACTGTCTTATTTTCGGGGAAACAGGGTACAAATTTCCTTTCTTGAGGAAGCTTATGAAGCTATACCAAGACTATTTTTCTAACTCAGGTGAGATTACAGGGAAGCCTTCATCTTACATTAATTTGATATGAGTATATGATTCTCTCTTGAGTACTAACCACAAATGAAACAAAGGGAATCTTTAACCATGTCAGTTTTGGCAACATTCACACAAAGAGAGCAAATGTCATCTATTTACTCCATTTTAACAATTTTCCCTGCAGTATGACTGTCATGGTGTCTCTAGTATATCTTACTTCATGTGATGACTTTTTTTTTTTTTTTCCAAATATACTTTCTTTTAAGTAGCTCTGAAGTCAGGCAGAATTAGTTGGGATCCCAACTCTGTCACTTGCTAACTTAGGTGACCATGAGTAATTTATTATCCTCTCTTGGTTATAGCTTCCTTAGTGGTAAATTTGTATAATATATCCTAGCCTACATTTCTATTGTGAAAGTTTTTTAAAAATTTAAAAAAAAAAAATATATATATATATATATATATATATATATAGAGAGAGAGCACTTAAAGTGGTGCCTGGCACATTGCATGCACTTAAAAATGATAGCAGCTCTCATTATCATAGAGAGGTTCTCTACTAATATCAGGGCTCATATTCTTAGTAATTACTTTCTACCTTTCAAAATATTTATAGCGATTCTTCCCAGTGACATCAGGATCTTCATAAACCTCTTTAGGCATTTGAAAAGAAGTGTCATATCTAAAATAAAGCAGGAAAACATTATTCAAGTCTAACATATTTCCAAATACCATTTCTATCTAATATTTCTATGCCTACAAAATAGGAGATATACATGTATTTCAGACTGAGAGCAAAGTCTTCTATAATATACATCTGACTGACTTTCCCTGAGCCAGGATATCTGGAACTAACAAAAGGAAGTGAGACTTAAGAAGAGAGTCAATTGTCAAAGACACAGAGAACATACTGATGGTTGCCAGAGGGGAGAAGGGTTGGGGGATGGGGTGAAAAAGGTTGAGTGATTAAGAAGTACAAATTGGTGCCCTAGCTGGTTTGGCTCAATGGATGGAGCATTGGCCAGAGGACTGAAGAGTCCCAAGTTTGATTCCGCACACGCCCGGGTTGTGAACTCGGTCCCCAGTGGGGGGCATACAGGAGGCAGCCAATCAATGATTCTCTCTCATCATTGATGTTTCTATCTCTCCCTCTCCTTTTCTCTCTGAAATCAATAAAAAACATTTTTTTAAAAAGAAGTACAAATTGGTAGTTACAAAACAGTCATGGGGATGTAAAGTACAGCATAGGGAATACAGTCAACAAAATTGTAAAAACTATGTATGGTGCCAGGTGGGTTCTGGAAACATTGGGGGGAACACTTTGTAAAGTATATGGTTATCTAACCACTATGCTGTACAACTGAAATGAATACAAAGTAATTACTGAATGTCAACTGTAATTGAAGAATAAAATTTTAAGTTCTTTTTTTTAAAAAATAAATGAATTACTTTTTACTTAAAAAAAAACAAGAGTCGATTTATGAAATTTCACATTTTAAAAAATGCCTACTTTTAATTAATAGCACATGAAAATAATAAAGTTTTAAATGACAACTTTTGATATCCAGTCTGAAAAACAGCATTTTAAAAAATGTTTATTTAGGTATGAACGAGTAAATAAAAAAAGAATGAGGAATTCAGGACACACACTTGTCTGTGAAGATGCTTTGGCTACAAGTCTCCAAAACATATATTTAGATACTTCCAGAAAAGTACACATCCAGCCGAAACTGGTTTGGCTCAGTGGATAGAGCGTTGGTCTGCAGACTGAAAAGTCCGGGGTTTGATTCCGGTCAAGGGCAGGTACCTTGGTTGCTGGCACATCCCCAGTAGGGGGTGTGCAGGAGGCAGCTGATCGATGTTTCTCTCACACATCGATGTTTTAACTCTCTATCCCTCAGCCTTCCTCTCTGTAAGAAATCAATAAAAAATTTTTTTAAAAAGTACACATCCAATTTCTAAGATGGATCAAAGGAACAACAAATTCAGTCACTTCCACCTGTGGTGGCAAGATGTCAAAATATATATATATATATATATATATATATATATATATATATATATATATATATTTTTTTTTTTTTTTTTATTTTTTTTTTTTTTGGAGTGAATATATATATTCACTCCAACCTTCTGAGACCATCTGCTAACCAACAAAACTATAACCACCAGCATCATAATTATACATTTTTAAACAATGCAAAATAAATAAATATTTTAATATGAATAATGCATTTATTAAAAACATAAGTAGCAGCTGAAGCTACTGACACTTACACGCCAAGTTGCTGCAGGGCTTCTCTCTGTTTCTCCTCATGTCCCCTCCATTCCCGATTGATGAATGGTGGGACAGGATCTGCCTTGCTCCAGTATATAGAATGTCTTGGGTAATGGATCAGGTTACTGAACATGTTTCTAAACCTGGGAACTTTCCTCTAACATTAGGCAGGGAGAAAAAGGACAAAATTATGCCATCAGATTTTCTAAATCTTTTGCTTATACTGCATTGCAAACTTCTATTTTTAAAGGGTAAAAAAGAGTGTTTCTGACACTGAAAAAAGAGTTATTGGTATATACATAGAATATCTCTGGAAGAATACCCAAGAAACTAATGATAATGAATGATTATGTAAAAAGAATAGAGGGTTAAAATTTACTTCATATTGTATATGCTTTTATACTTATTGAACTCTTTAAATACAGGTATATATCATTTTCCTCATTTAAATAAATTATGTTATAATGAATCCTTTATTCATTATTAGAGGCCTGGTGCACAAAATTCATGCACAGGGAAGCAGGGGGGCAGCCCCTCAGCCAAGCTTGCACCCTCTCGAAATCCGGGACCCCTTAGGAGATGTCCAACTGTCAGTTTAGGCAGTTGAGACATCCCTCTCGCAATCCAGGACTGCTGGCTCCTAACCACTCGCCTGCCTGCCTATCTGATCACCCCTAACCACTTGCCTGCCTGTTTGATCGCCCCTAACCACTTCTGCCTCGGGCCCCCGCAACCAAGACCCAGGTTTCCTTCCTCCGATTGGCCTCAGACAACTGGGACCTGGGTTTCCCTCCCTCTGACCGACTATAGGCACCCAGGACCCGGGAAACTTCACCTGTACCAGCACCTGGGACCCTGGGTTGCTCCGCCTGGTCAGGCACCTGGGACACTGGGCAGCTTCGCCTGGGCGGACTGCAGGCACCTAGGACCCCAGGCGGTGCCACCCAGGCCTGGGCTTTGTCAGGAAGGACATCAGAATGATGTCTGGAAGACGTTGGGTCTATCTGGTCTAATTAGAATATTACCCTTTTATTAGTATAGACTAATTTATTAATCCCCACACTGGGCCACAAGTATCAAGATGTCTTTGTACCCTAGTAATCATGGCAAAGTAATTTCTATAGAACATAAAAACAAGTGGAGATTTGTTTAATAGATTTGTTTTAAATTGATTTTTAGAGAAAGAAGAAGGGACAGGGAGAAGGGGAGAGAAACATCAATGTGAGAGTGATACATCCATCAGCTGCCTCCTGCATGCCCCATACCAAAGATAAAGTCTGCTACTCGGGCATGTGCCCTGATCAGGAATCAAACCAGCAACACTTTCAATGCCCATCCAATTGAGTCACACCAGCCAGGGCAATAAGTCAATCATATCAGCACAGTTAGCCACACTCGATGGTTCAGGTCCATTAGGCTATCTTAGGGAATGAATCAGACCTACCAGTCTGCTTCGACTCAGGAATGCTTGGACATTTGCATGTGTGTGGTCTTGCTCACTTGACACAGTAAACAACGGATCTGCAAAATAAACAATAAGGTAGTATAAAGTACAGAAGGTATCTACTCCTAGGCTGAGAACAATGGCAAAGCAATGTAATTTCTTAATTGGAAAACAAATTATAAAGTTTAGATCTTGCCTAACTCCACAAAAGCTCCTAGCCCTGTTACTCTTACCACCAGTGAGAGTCTGTTAGATGCATTTCTTTTCTGTGCATTCCAAAATCAGTTTATAGAACTAAATACAAAAAAAAAAAAAAAAAAAAAAGGACATATTCTCAAGCACCATAACGTAAACATGCTTTCTCCTATTCTATGAACAAACCAGTTTCTGGTCTGGAAAGCTCAGGAAATAATGCAAGAAGAAAGAACACTATGCCCATTTGCAAGTGAAAGAAAATGTATTTGGGCACTCTCATTTCAGTACACAGGGAAAATAGAAACTCTTAACAGTATGTCTTCTGTAAATGGGTCAACATGGTAAGAAAATGTCATTCTCTAGTAAAACATAAAAAAGATCAGCTATCTTCAGAATTCACCCTTTAAGTTTACAGTTATGTTAATGATGGGACGAAGTTATTTCTCCAAAGCTCAATAAATGATTGATTTATTGAGAATAGTATGGAGTAACGGGAATTTTATATTCATACTAGAGGCTCAGTGCATGAAATTCGTGCACAGGGTATGGGGGTGTCCCTCAGCCCAGCCTGCACCCTCTCCAATCTGGGACCCCTTGAGGGATGTTAAACTGCCTGTTAAGACCCGATCCATCTCACATCCAGGACTGCTGGCTCCCAACTGCTCACCTGCCTGCCTTCCTGATTGCCCCTAACTGCTTCTGTCTGCCAGCCTGATCACACCCTAACCACTCCCATGCCAGCCTGATTGATGTCTAACTGCTCCTCTGCCAGCCTTTTTGCCCCCAACTTCCCACCTTAGCTGACCTGGCCACCCCTAACTGCCCTCCCCTGCAGGGTTGATTGCCTCCAACTGCCCTCCCTTGCAGGCCTGGTGCCTCCCAACTGCCCTCCCCAGATGGCCATCTTGTGGGGGCCATCTTGTGTCTACATGAGGGCAGGATCTTTGACCACATGGGGGCAGCCATCTTGTGTGTTGGAGTGATGGTCAATCTGCATATTACTCTTTTATTAGATAGAATAGAGGCCTGGTGCATGGGTGGGGGCCAGCTGTTTGCCCTGAAGGGTGTCCTGGATCAGAGTGGGGGTTCCCTTGGGGTGTGGGGCAGCCTGGGTGAGGGGCCTGTGGTGCTTTGCAGGCCAGCCACGCCCCCTGGCAACCCAAGTGGAGGTCCTGGTATCTGGAATTTATTTACCTTCTACAATTGAAACTTTGTAGCCTGGAGTGGAGCCCAGCCCCCTGCTCACTCAGTGGCTGCCGCCATTTTTGTTTGGTTTTATGTATCTTCTATAATTGAAACTTTGTAGCCTTGAGTGGAGGCCTAGGCTGGCTAAGGTTTGTGGAAATGGTTTGGCTTCCTCTATTGCTGGGGAAACCCAAGCTTCTCTACTGCTCTCTATGACTGGAACCATCTTGGCTGGGGTTAATTTACATACTTGCTCTGACTGGCTGGTGGGCGTGGCTGGTGGATGTGGCTTGAGTGGAGTGATGGTTGATTTGCATATTACTCTTTTATAAGGTAGGATTCTTGAGTCATTTAAAAGATACCACCAGGTCTATGGTTACAATTGTGTTATTCACCTGAAGTTAGTTTAGCCTGACTAGCTTCTGAGTCTGAATAACATATATATATAAAGAGCCAGGGTCCATAACATCCAAAATAACAGAATGCATGACCAAACACTGGAAGTCAGTCCTGCAGTCAGTGCTGGGTCTAACTGCTGCACTGCGGGCACCGTGGTGACCCAGCACTAACTGCCTAGGCCAGTGGTCAACAAACTCATTAGTCAACAGAGCCAAATATCAACAATATAATGATTGAAATTTCTTTTGAGAGCCAAATTTTTTAAACTTAAACTTCTTCTAACGCCACTTCTTCAAAATAGACTCACCCAGGCTATGGTATTTTGTGGAAAAGCCACACTCAAGAAGCCAAAGAGCCACATGTGGCTCAGGAGCCACAGTTTGTCGACCATGGGCCTAGGGGCCTATAGATCAGACTTGGAGAGAGGCCCATAATGAGAAATGGGGTCTGGTGTGCAGCCTCCATGGCAGCTATTGATCAACCCTTGCCTCTCTTTCTCTCCAGGCCTCACCAGCAGCCAAGGAGGCTGCTGATCAGCCCTGCCTCTCTGATCAGGCCCAGAGACAGGCCTGGAGATGCTGACTGGCATAGAAACCAACCAATAAGAATCAAATCTGGGTGAACTGCAAGGACCCAATGGCTGCCTAGGAGGTGGAGCTTTTGATGCTGACTGGCATAGAAACCAACCAATCAGAAGCTAATCTGGGTTAACTGTGAAGGCAGAACCTAAGGTGGGGGCTGAGGAGGGGCTTTAAGGGCAACAGCTGTTTGGTATAAGGTGTAAGAAAGCGGTTCAACTTTTTAATGGCCAGTTTGGCAGAATAGTGCATATGGCTGGCTGTCAGTCCAGATATAGGGATTGTGTATTTTTGTCTGCCAAAGAGCATCTCCTCCTGATTAAAAAGGCTCCCCCTGCACCCTGAACCATTTAAGCAATCCTATCCTATATAATCTAGCTATACTAGTAGAAGGGTAATATGCTAATTAGACTGGACTGACTGGCCATCTTCTGGATGTCCGACTTCCTTCTGGATGAAGCCATGGTGTTAGGGGCCAAAGCAGAGGCAGTTGGGGCAACCAGGCCAGCAGAGGAGAGCAGTTGGGGGCAAATTCAGGCCAGCAGGGGAGGGCATTGGGAGTGATATCAGGCCAGCAGGGGAGGGCCACTGGGGTGATCAGCCAGGCAGACAGAGGGGTTAGGGACCATCAGGCAGGTAAGCAGAGGCAGTTAGGGATGATCAGGCAGGCAGGTGAGCAGTTAGGAGCCAGTGGTCCCAGATTGCGAGGGGGATGTCCACAGGGATCGGGCCTAAACCGGCAGTCAGCCATCCCCCAATGGGTCCCCAATTGGAGAGGCTGGGCTGAGGGAACCCCCCACCCATGCACGAATTTCGTGCACAGGACATTAGTAAATAATAAACCATTCTCCTCTTATTCCCACATGGAGTGTGAAGACATGATATCTAAGAAAGATTCTTGCCATCTATAAAAGATACTGCATGATTTGTGACTACACATTCTGCAATATATCCTACAACTGTGATCATAATCAGTGCTCAATAAGCAGTAAAGGGAGCATTGAGGTCTTGATCCCCAGCAAATGTTGTCAGTTTGACTCAAATAAATTCATAAATATTCTCAAAATGGGGAGTAGGGGGAGGAGCAGGAGACTCTCTGAGATGCCCATGGAATAGCAGTCGCCAGGTATCACTTGCTTACTCCTAGACAGATATTAAGTGCTTTATATGCAACCAGAGGCCCAATGCATGAAATTCATGCAAGGGGCTCCACCCCCACCACCACGGCTTCGGCTTCATCTGGAAGGTCGTCATCTGGAAGGATGCCCGGAAGGATGTCCAATCTAATTAGCATATTACACTTTTATTATTATAGATATTTGACTTAACCTTCACAAAAACCCAATGAGGTAGGTGCTAGGCTTCCATTTTATGAGCGAGGAAATGGAGGTTTTAAGAAGTTAGCAACTTACTAACTGGCAGTTAGGATTTGAATCCCAATCCTCTGGCTCCCAGGCTTAATAGTATCAAAAGCCCATGAATTTTATGGGGGGGAAATTCCCATGGATATCCTGAGAGAGCCCCTCAGCCAATTTATCCATATTGTAGAAACAGTTCTAAAAAGCCCAGGAAATTGTCACCACCAAGTAGTGGTGAGAAGTGTTTGAAATCCCAAGTCATAATGGGATTACTTTTAGTGGGAGGTATAAAAATCTGCAGATTCTGGGGAGAGATAAAAGGAGAAAAGAGCTCATGATAAACCTAGAAAGTACTTTTAAAATAATTAGAAAGCTAGGAAAAATCTTTATTTTAAAAGACTTTAATTATCAGGACAATAGTGTAGTTCTTAATCCCTAGACAACTGTACAGATTCAAGAAAGTGACAAAGCATAGTGGGCATTTCAAAAGAGATACAGGATCCACAGCATGTGCAAAAAAAAAAACAAAACGGAGGGAAATGCATGCTGGTATATAAATGATTGTCAGTTAGGATTTATAAAAGAAGATAAATTGTAAAATACTATAGAAACATAAGGTATCTGAATTTATCTTAATTACTTCAGTGATCACAAGAGTAAAATGACACTGAGTGACTATGCCCACGCAAAGCTTTCTAGAGGAGCAAAGGCCTTGAATAGATAATTAACTTCATTGGAAGGCCATTGGGTTTGAGAGGTAGGGACAGAGGAAGGGTGAAAAAGCTTGGAAGGGTGTTCATATTTGTACCATTGACCCCCATACCCACCCTGGTCAACAACTTATTTTATTTCTCCAATTTTCAGCTACGATATACAAGGACTCTATACAATTGGTGGTGAGCTTTAGGCTAAGAACTCATGTACAGTGCCACCCCAGTCCCTAGCAGAGCCAAAGAAATCCGTACACTGCGACTCTGTCAGATGGAAGAAGGAAGCATATACATCAAAAGGAGGGTTTGAGTTACTAAATAAAATAGAGGATGCCCAGTTAAATTTGAATTTCAGAGAAGCAAAGAATAACATTTTATATAAATACTAGATGCCTGGTGCACAAATTTTATTCATTGGGGGGTGGCCCTCAACCCAGTCTGCAAGCTCTCACAGTCCAGGTCCCCTCAGGGGATGTCCAACTGCTAGCTTAGGCCTGATGTAGACTGGCCTAAGCCAGCAGTCTGGGATCCCTCTCACAGTCTGGGATCCCTTTTGTAGTCTGGGACTCCTCGCTCCTTAGCTCCTTATCACCCACCTGTTTCCTGCTCCTTAGTGCTGCTGCGGAGGCAGAAGAGGCTCCCCCCACCATTGCGCTCTCCAACCGTGAGCCCTGCCTCTGGCTGAGCAGTACTCCCCCCTGTGGGAGCACACTGTCCACCAGGGGACAGCTCCAGCATTGGGCGTCTGCCCCCTGGTGGTCAGTGCACATCATTGTAACTGGTAGTTCAATTAGTTGTTCTGCCATTTGATTGATTTGCATATTAGGGTTTCATTATATAGGATGTCCCAAATATTGCATGGGATTAAAAATGTAAACCATAGTACACATTATTTACCTCAAATTCAATGTAATGGTGTATCCTGTATTCTTTTTTTTTATTTTTATTAAAATATATTTTTATTGATTTTGTACAGAGAGGAAGGGAGAGAGATAGAGAGTTAGAAACATCGATGAGAGAGAGTCATCGATCAGCTGCCTCTTGCACACCCCCTACTGGGGATATGCCCGCAACCAAGGTACATGCCCTTGACCGGAATCGAACCCGGGACCCTTCAGTCCCCAAGCTGACGCTCTATCCATTGAGCCAAACCGGTCTTGGCGTGTCCTGTATTCTTTTTTTTTTCTCTTCACCTAAGGATATGTTTTGATTTTTTTTTTTTTTTTTTTTTTTTTTTTAGAGAGAGAGGAAGGTAGAAGGGGGGAGAGAGAGAGAGAGAGAGAGAGAGAGAGAGAGAGAGAGAGTCCTTGATGTGACAGAGAAACATTGGTGGGTTACCTCATGTACATCCCTGACCAGGAATTGAATCAGCAACCCACGTATGTGCCCTGACTGGAAATTGAACCCACAACTGTTTGGTGTACTAGACAATGCTCCAACCAACTAAGCCATCCAACCAGGGCAATGTCCACTCTTTTTTTTTTTTTTTTTTTTTTTAAATATATTTTATTGATATTTACAGAGAGGAAGTGAGAGGGATAGAGAGCTAGAAACATCCATGAGAGAGAAACATTGATCGGCTGCCTCCTGCACACCCTGCACTGGGGATGTGCCCACAACCAAGGTACATGCCCCTGACTGGAATCAAACCTGGGACCCCCCCAGTCCCCAGTCCGCAGGCTGACGCTCTATCCATTGAGCAAACTGGCCTTGGCAATGTCCACTCTTTTATTTGCTAAACCTGCTAACCCTACCAGAATGAAAGACCATAAGATCCAAGATATTGAGCAGGAGGCCTCGGCACCTTAGTTCTGACGTCCCTGCCCTGGCTATGTTATGCTTCCTGTCCATGAATAGCTGTGAGACTGCCTGCTTTATTAGAGCAATCCAAAGTTTCATTTGACCTATTCTGAGTGGATGTAGAAACTTTTAGGAATTTCTCTGGGGTTGGGTGGGGTGGGGTGGTGGTGAGGGGAATTACTTTTAGGAATAAAAGAAAGAAGGAGCTTAATAAATTCTTTGCCTGTCTTTGCTGAAGGAAGATGTCTATCCGTAGTTCCGAATTACCTTTGAAATAAACATGGTGATGTATTTAGAGGAGTTTACTAGATTTATTTTACAAGATGAAACCAAGAGCAGGTTTCATTACACAGTCCCAATAGGTAATGGGTATTCTATACGATTCTCATCCAAAGGAGACCCTGGGAATCCCAGAGGACATAAGATAGAGTTAAAAGCAATGCAAGGTTCAGATGAAGAGCCTGGGCCTCCTGAGGCAAGATTGGAAAAGGGTCATGCTTAAAGATGGTAAGTTCTGTAATAGTAAATTCAATAATTTAAAAAAGCATTTATGAGGCACCTAGCATATGTACTAGCACTGGATTAGGTACTGAATTGATTACAAATATGTATAGAACAAGAACTTAGAAAACGCACGGGATGTAAGGTCCAGTACAAGAGACAGAATGTAAATGGACAATCAGGTCCTTACAGTAAACTGGGGCTTTAGTGGACCTATTGAGTGTATAAGTAATGCTTTATTGGATAAGAATAAGTTTAAAGAGAAAACTAAAAACTACGGTGAGACAAACTGGCACTTTCCCTGAGAATGCCAAGATTTGGAGGTGTCCAGAGAATGGCAACGGAAAGGTCCTTCTTGTTGGGCACTTTACGGAGTTTGAATGCGGGGATGTTGAGTGACCCTCCAAACCTGCAAATCATTGCATATTTTCCTTGATACTAAAACTCCTAGGATGTGAGTTTTAGCTTAAGGCTGTGCAAAGTATCAGCAAGAGAGGATGGCGAAGAGCGAGCGGCGCCCAGCGCCTGGGCGGCTTCCGAGCAGCCCTGGAGGTCTCGGGAGCGCCCCCACCCTGCAGAGGACAGCCGCGGGCAAGGGATTTGCCCTTAGGCTCCTCTTTCGTTCGCCTGGGCCGCCACCTCAGGGCCCACCGCGGCCACAGCTCCGGAGGGAGGTCGGGGCTCCCTTACCGTACAGGTAATCATACGTTCGGCCGTTGAAGAGTTGGCCCCTGGCCTCCGACTTCACCTCGCACCGGGTTTGAGGGCCCCGCTGCTTGGTCCGGGGCTCCTGGATGGTCACGGTTCGGCTCATGGTGCCTCCCCTTCCCTCCCGCCAGCAGAGGCCCAAATAGGTAGTCGGAGCGGCTGTGTGCACCGTAGCTATGGTAACCTCGACGGGAACTGGAGCGTGGGGCGGGGCTAGGAGCAGAAGGGGCGGGGCGAGGGCGGGGCGAGGAGTAGTAGGGGCGGGGCTAGAGTTAGGGCGGGGCCAAGAGGGAGCAGAGCTGGCTGGGGAGAGAAGTGGGGTGAGAATGAGGAATCCGGAGCGGAGAGGGCGGAGGGGTAGGAAGGAAGTGGAAGGGAAGGGGAGGGGAGGGGGCGGGAGGAAAAGAAAGGAAGGGGAAGGCTTGGGAGGGGGAAGGGCCCGCCTTACTTCCACTACGTTCCCGAGGCGGAGCTTCGAGCTTCCAGCCGGCCCACCCAGTTCCAGGCTGCAGGGCTAGAGGCTGGGGAAAAGGCTGCTGCTCAAACCCAGCGGCGACTTGTAACCTCTTTCAGAAATCCCTGGGAGAATTTCAGAACCTTCTAGTTGTTCATTTCGGACATCCCCTTTTCGTGGGGCTGCTTCTGCGAGCTGAGGAACCCAAGCTCCCGAACGCGGAGCCTGGGCGCTTCGAGGCCAGGTCCCAGGGCCGTCAGCCTTCTAGGCCCGGAGCTGCTGTGACTGACACGCACTCTGCTGCCACTTCCCCTGACCTTAAGTCAGCAGGGGTCACGTACTGTAGGCACTAGCTCTGCTTTTTGAAACTACTTATTAGGGGAGATTTTTTTTTAACATAAGCAAAAGTGAATCCACTTTTAACCATTACCAACATTTTACCAATCTCATGGCATCGATCCCTTCTTTTTGCTTGAGTATTTAAAAACAAAACCCAGACATTATTTTTACCCTTACGTTAATCTTCATCTCAAACGGATAGGGATTAAAAAACAAAACAAAACTTAACCATCCATCTAACAAAATTAATAAGTCTGTCATATCATCTCATACTCAATTCCTATTCAAATTTCCCTGGTTGTGTCCAAGATGTCATTTAATAGTTGGTTTGTTCTGATCAAAAGATAAGTCTTCACATTGCATTTTGGTATGCCTCTGAAGTCTTTCATCCTAGAACAGTGATTCTAACACTTGCAACAATTTTCTTTATTACCTGGAATTCTTTTATTAAAAGGGCTTTCTTTCACCAACTCATTGGTTTTATCCTAAAATATAGGAATCTTAGAGGAAAGCCTGGGAAAATGCTGGATTCCTTCACTTTAATAAATTTCAGAAAAATGAGTTTGACTTTGTAACCTGGAGGCATTTATAGGCTTAGATTTTGGTTAGACCAATCACTTTAATAGTTTCCTTTTTTATTTCGATGCAATTAACTTTATAAATTTATTTTCTTGCAATTTGTGTTTTTCAAATAGGTTGTTCCTTCCTCCTGGATGTGAAGATAATCTTTTCCACTATCGTCTATCAATTTTTTAGTTTGACCTAATGCATCGAGTGCTCTTCCTTTTTTCCAATTAATTTTCTTTTCTCTAATGATTTGTTGAACTTTGTTATTGTATAGTAGAGGCCCGGCTCACTAAATTCGTGCATGGGGCCGAGGGAGGGGGGTTGGGGCAGGGTCTCTCAGCCCAGCCTGCACCCTCTCCAATCTGAGACCCCTGGAGCGATGTCCGACTACTCCCCTGCCAGCCTGTTTGACCCCAACTTTCCTCCTCTGCCAGCCTGGTCACCCCTAACTGCCCTCCCCTGCAGGGTTGATTGCCTCCAACTGTCCTTCCTTGCAGGCCTGGTGCCTCCCAACTGCCCTCCCTTGCAGGCCTCGTCCCTCCCAACTGCCCTCCCCTGCTGGCCATCTTGTGATGGCCATCTTGTGCCTACATGTGGGCAGGATCTTTGACCACATGGGGGCAGCCAGCTTGGTGTGTTGGAGTAGTGGTCAATCTGCATATTACTCTTCTATTAGATAGGATAGAGGCCTGGTGCATGGGTGGAGGCCAGCTGGTTTGCCCTGAAGGGTGTCCCGGATCAGGGTGGGAGTTCCCTTGGGGTGTGGGGCAGCCTGGGTGAGGGGCCTGTGGTGGTTTGCAGGCCAGCCATGCCCTCTGGTGACCCAAATAGAGACCCTGGTATCTGGAATTTATTTACCTTCTACAATTGAAACTTTGTAGCCTGGAGTGGAGCCAAGCTTCCTGCTCACTCTACAGCCATTTCTATTTGGATTTACCTTCTATAGTAGAAACTTTGTAGCCTTGAGTGGAGGCCTAGGCTGGCAAGGGCAGGCAGAAAGCTTGGCTTTCTCTGTTGCCTGGGAAACCCAAGCCTCCCTCCTGCTTTCTGTGGCTGTAGCCATCTTGGTTGGATTATTTGCATACTTGCTCTGATTGGCTGGTAGGTGTGACTGGTAGGCATGGCTTGTGGGTGTAGTGAAGTGGTGGCTAATTTGCATATTACTCTTTTATTAGGTAGGATTATGTTTCCAAGAGATGTTGATGTTGACAGTTCAAGAAACACCATTAGAGTGGCAAGGTACTAAACAACAGAAGTGAACGCCTAGTTGAAAGAATTGACAACAGTAGATCAGGGTACATTTAGGAGGACATAAGAGCAATGTGTTCTTTATTAAACATAACAATCTCATAATGAAGTAAAAATCATGCTTACTAGAAGTTTTTAGATGACAAAGTGGGAATGGTTTTAGTAACTTGGAAAATATGAATATAGAAACCATGGATTCCCTGAACTAAATCTCTGAAACACAGAAACAAACTTTGGTTAGGTGATAATTGAAATTTTGATTACCCAAATTTGAATAATGCCACAATGTCCTGCTTTAAAAAATAGTTCAATCTCTTTGTCCAATAATTCTCATTTAAAAGAAACACACACACACAATTGGTGAGTACATTGTATTGCAAATAACATAGACAAGTTTATTTACCTACCTAACTGAATAAGGCATTTTGCAATTTTCTTAACAGTATACTTACTGTACTTGTCCTGATTGAGCAATTCCTACTGAAATTAAATTAGTGAGAGAGAGCTATAGACACATCCATGAACTGTGGATTTAAAGTATATGGGGTGAGGTATGGGTGGGAGGGAAAATTTTTTTTTCAATACTGTGCAATGTCGTTGTTCAGTGTCTTAAATTAAGTCTTTAATGAGGTCAGTGAAAACCAATGGGCAAGAAGAGGGCAGAGTCCATCCTGAAATACAGAGAACTGAGCTCTAACTCCAAGGGGGCCGTCTTTCAATAGTGTGCGGTCTTATCACGGGATAGACGTTTCACTTCCTAGCGCTTCAGATTTGCGGTGAGTGAAGGGCTTGAGCGATGTCTCATTTCCTCATTCTCAGCCTCCGTGAGTTCTCAACTCTCCGCGCCCTTTCACCTCGCCTCTCTGCGCCTGCGCCAAAGAGGCGGCCCAGTGCCGTCCTTCAGTCACTTATGCGCATGCGTCCTTTTGATCCCTCCCTCCCCTCCCTCTTCCGCGCCCAACTGAGAGGCAGGACTTCCTGTCCTTCTGGACCGGATGCCGGAAGTGCGTGCGTGCGAACCGGCGTTTGCGTAGGTTGGGAGCGTTGAGGGTGCCCGCGCTAGCAGCTGCTTTCCTCTTGCAAGATGCCGGGTCTGGCGGCCGCAAGCCCTGCCCCTCCTGAGACGCAGGAGAAGAAGCCGCTGAAGCCCTGCTGCGCCTGCCCGGAGACCAAGAAGGCGCGCGATGCGTGGTCAGTGCGCAGCCCGGGACGGGGCGGCCGGCGGCCCTGCGCCTCCTCCCGGCGGCGTGGCCCGCTGCACCGCCCGGGGCGGGCCTGCCTGGCCCTCGCTTTGCGGAGCGGCGCTTTCGGGGTTACTGGGGCCCAGGAGGCTTCCGGGCCGGCTGTGCTGCGGACTGAGCTCCCTGCTCGGGGGGGGAAACGGGTGAAGGGTTAGAAGGGAGGTTGCATTGACCTCGAGCTCCGTTCACACACTTGTGTTCTCCTTAGGAAGGGTTTTTGAACATAACTTTAGGTGGGAAGATGTCGAAATGGATACATTTGCTGCTTGATTTAAAGGAGCTTTAAGTTAATGGAGACATGCCGGTAATTGCTATCCCAGGTGGTATGGACTAGTATAAAGGGTGTAGCAAAACCAAAGAGTAATAATTTTCTGGTAATGCCTGCCAGATTTTAGACACAGTAGGACACAAGGTATATTACTTAACAGTACTAAAGCGTCCCTCCTCCCCCCCTAAGGTAGATAGTTTATGTCCGTTATGTGACTTTGTAGTGTTCAGAAGTGTACCTCTAGATTACCGCCGATCCACAAAAGCTTTTGTTGGTTTTCATTTTATACAGCCACTCTTGGGGAACAAATATTATTAGGAATTTTCAGATGTGAATGTACACTTCCTTCAGCCCCTTTTTGTCCTTACATAAGAAGTAAAGAAATTACAAGTTGCATAATGAGGTTAATAAGAGCTGTAGGAGCTCAGTGCTTTCTATTAATACTTAGTATTTTGCAAATAACATTGTGGAGGGAGAATTGAAACGGGGAGTTCAAAACAAGTCACCCCAAGATATGCTTCTGTGATTTGCAGGTTGTTTTGAGCTAAAGGCAGTGTTAGCTGTGGCTTCAAGAGAATCTGCCTCCCCCCATACACTGCCCTTCCCCCTTAACCACCTAGAAGAACTTGAATTAGGGGCCTTGCCTATAAGAGATTATCAGAAATAACTTCTTTTGACCTATTTACGGGACAGGACAAACTTCTGAGTATTTATTAAGTATCTGCTTTTTAAATCCTGCAGTGACCTTTTGAAGCCCCCAAGGCACCTTGTCTCATCCCTAGCTCAGGATGTCTTATATACCCATGTTCCCTTATGTATTAAATTTGATTATTTTCTCTTGCTAATGTCTCCAGCCTATTGGATTATTAGACAAACCAGAAGAACATTTGTTTTGAACTCCCGCTGCATTCATTAGACTATGTTCTGCCTCAGTCCACATCACCGTTATGCATGCTTATTTACAGCTAATCTGCTTAATGGCTACTTTGTTAGGTAACAAGTGCATTTTGTTTTGTAGCATTATTGAGAAAGGAGAAGAGCACTGTGGACACCTAATTGAGGCCCACAAGGAGTGCATGAGAGCCCTGGGATTTAAGATATGAAATGGTGAGCATGGTACTCCCTGATGGGGAAGGTAATACATAGGCTTATTGCTTCAGATGTCTCTATTGCTTTATAGATTTAGCAGTCATTGGGCAACATTGTATTTGAAAGGTAGTTCACCTGGTTAAACTAACACACTGAAGTAGCACTAAAAAATAACTTCAGTTTCTAATGTAGGGAGTAAGTGGTGCTAAAAATTGAGAGGTATTTGGTGGATTTGGGAAGGGAAGAATTTAGCTTTTAAGAAGGGGCTTGGTTTAGGGATTTCACAATATTTAGGTGTTCAACTTAAAGGAACTATAGGAAAAACATTCTCTGTTCCTTGTTTCTAATGTTGTGAGTCTTTAATAAGTGCTTTTAAACAGAGTGGGCAACACATGAAGTATTGCTTTCTGCAAAACAAAAATGGAATTTTTGCTATATCTCTTTTGTACTGCACTTTAATAACTAACCTATTGTATGCCATAAGCGTCTGTATACGCAAGCGGCAGACCTTCCCCACACACCATGCAGGTCTATAAAAAAAATGTTTTCCCGAAGTGGCAGCCCTGACCAACTTTAAAATCATTTTTCCTGAGAGTTTTCAGCTGAAAATATTCAAAAACACTCGAATTATGAGTAATATGTTTATTTTTATAATACTCATTGCAAAATTGATTTTTTAAATTAAATTTAAAATATTATGGTGTGTGGGGATGATTTTCGTTTTGGATTTGTGGCAGTTAACTCGTTAAAACACAGACCATATTTTGAGGAACTTTGAATCTAAATTTTAATGCTGAAGGAACCTTAATAAATGATTTTTCTTTCATTTGGAAGTTCTTCCTTCAGGTAGCAACTTGACTCATTCCCTCACTTTATTCAGATCTCTGTTTAAATACTTCCTTTTTGGAGAGGCTTTTCCTTAACATTCCATCTAAAATAGCATCCCTTACCTGGTTGGCAGGCTCAGTGGTTGAGTGTTGACCTATGAACAAGGAGATCATGGGTTTGATTCCCAGTCAGGGCACATGCCCCAGTTGTGGGCTTGATTCCCAGTAAGGGATGTACGGGTTTCTATCTCCCTTCCCTCTCTGAAATCAATAAAAATATATTTATAAATAAATAAACATCCCTCCCCCATCACTGTATCCTAGCCCTGTCCAAGAGAACTTTCTGTGATAATGAAAGCGTCCTGTACGCTTTGCTCTCTCCAGTATGGTAGCCACTAGCCATATGTGGCTGTTGAACCCTTGATATGTGAGTAGTAAAACTGAGTAACTATATTTTTAGTTTTATCTAATAGCCACATGTAGCTAGTGGCTACTTTATTCTTAATACCATTGCCTGCATATTATGTATGTATTTATCATCAGCTTTGTTTTACTCCAACTAGAATATGATCTCTCAGATAGTAGGAACAGTGAAGTCAAAAAGACTTGCTGAAGTTGAGTGGCTAGATGGTGGAATTTCACTCACTGTCACATCCCCAGGACCTAAGACATAGTAGGTGTTCATTGGAGGATTGTTATTAAATGAATAAATAAATGAAATTAAGTCCTGTAAGTATGAAATGATTCCAGAGGTGGGTTAGCAGGATCAGAACTGGAACCTGTCTCCAGGCAGACTCCCTCTGCTTTGTGCCCCCCTGCCCTGGGTTTTCCACATCACACCACCACTTTTAATAATAGCTGAGAGATAATGCCGAAACCACATACCAATATAACAGTAATAGAGAGCCTGGCTTCTCTCCCTGTCACCTCTTTCCTGCCTGTTTAGAATTGCACGTATGGCCACTGTTCCTCATTGAGCTATAAAAAAGGAGGGTAAGGAACTTGTCCCAAGCTGATAAGAATCACTGTATAGTGGAAAACAGTCCAGGCTGTAAATGCTCAGGCTTAATTTTGGTTCTCCTGCTGTCTAGTATGTTTTACTTCAGCTACATCCTTTTGGGGCTTTACTTTTTGTTTTGTTAATCCTAACCCAAGGATATATATATATATATATTTTTTTTTAGAGAGAGTGGAAAGAAGGGAGGGAGGGATGGGGAGAGACAGAGAGACATCGATTGGTTGCCTCCCATATATGCCCCGACTGGTACGGGGATTGAGTCTGCAACACAGGTACATGCCCTTGACTGGGAATCAAACCCGAGATCTTTCCGAGCTTGGGCTGACACCACTGAGAGTAACACTGGACAGGGCTGGACTTTACTTTTTATTTATAAAAAGAGAACATAATACAATTTTTTATTTAAATGTTATGATATATCTATATATGAGATACTTAAGTGACTTTTAGATTAGATGATTCCTGGTGAACCATTTTGTAAAATAAGTTTGAGTAGGGGTTGTGTTCTTAAAAGTATAAATATACCTATTGATGATTTTTAAAGAATCTCAGCATGTGGGAGCAGATGGGATGGGGGCTGTGGCAGGAGGGGCCAGGTGCAGGCGAGGATGATGGGCTGAGACCCGCCCTGTGCCCACCGCAACCTCGAGGCCCACAATTCCTTTCAAGTGCACGAATTCATGGACTGGGCCCTAGTTTGTCTATAAAAGAAAATACAAGAGCTTTGGACTTAGAAGATCTGGTGTTTAACTGGTTGCATGGTCTTGGGCAGTCCTTAACTTTCTGAACTTCAGTTTCCTCATCTGTAAAGCAGAGATAATAATAATGACCAAACTACTTTATAGAGTCATTGTGATGATTCAATGATATATGTATGAATAGGCTTTGTAAACTTGTCAAGTAGAAACCAGAGAGGAATATTTCGTATCTTGGGAGTTGTGGATAGCAAACCTTCAGTTGAAGTCTGTTGAATATGTGACCTAATGTATTTCTGATATCTGGTTAGAAGAACAATCTGAATCCGTGTAGGCCCTTCTAAGAATTCAGAAGAGGGCTCTTCCAAGAAGTTTTGGAAGAGGGACAGGTGTCCTATTTCCCTATCCCCCCTGGGGAAATGGAGGAACAGTGAAGTCAAACAGACTTGCTGAAGTTGAGTGGATAGATGATGGAATTAAAACTAGAGTCTAGATCTCCTATTTATTTTTTTTAATCCTCGCTTGATATTTTTTCATTGCAACCTTTTTTGTATACAGGATGTCACTTCAACCAACTGAACCACTGGGTAGGACAAATTGTACTCCTTGCACTAAATGAGGCTTTATTGCCAACATTTCACTTTCAGGATTGTGCATAGTCTTGATTTATAATATGAGAACTTCATTATGATGCTAATTAGACCTGTTGTTGAAATGCATATGTATGTAACCAGATCATTGGCTGTAGGGTAAAATCCAACATTGCTATCTGCATTGTTATAAGATTAACTTAACTGAATTCATACATCTCAGACAGTTAGGCCACATTTTTCTGACAATAGCTTCAAGGGAAAAATATTTTTGCAAACTTAGGTCTTCCCAGTAATGAGTTTGAATATTCCAAATTCAAAAACCTTAGTAGGTATTAATATTAATATTCTAAATAATGTAGGTCTTAATTATACCTTCTTAACGTAGGTTGGAACTTAATATAACAGTAGGCTGTATTCAACCAGAGGTGTAATTTATAATCTCCTGCTGAGGCATATTTTCCTAAACTCACAAGCTTGGGCCCCAGTCTGCACCTGTTAGCTCAGAAACTCCTAGATAATATTCAAGTGTGCCCCTCTTTAACAACTAGTGGCTTAAGCTGAAGGGATAATTCTAAATAAAACTATTGAAAGATTTAATAGTACTAAAAGCTGAGGCTCAAAAACTGCTCTTAAGAAAAATTAGGTGTGTGATGATGATTCTCAACACTTCCTTCTGTCTTATTACTGCTGCTTTCACTGAAAAGGGAACTAGAGGAACCTAGAACCTGCTTAAAAAAAAAAATGTAAAGAGAAAATAGCTAGTATTCTTTCTGCCTTTAGGATTCAGAAGGAACTTGAATAACTCATTTAGAGGGCTAAAGTCATTGAAATAAATTAAAGGATTACCATTTAGTGGTAGTGATAATATTTAATAAGTTTAACTGAACTTAATAGTAGGTTGAAATATACTTAAAATATGCTGATATCATACGCACATACATGTAACTGATAATGTATGAGAATATGATTCTGAGAAAAATCTAGGAAAAAAGTTATTTCTGCTATTCAAACATTTAGTTTTCAATAGATATTTATTGTTTAAGACCCTAAAAAAAATGCCAACATGAGAAAAACAAGATCTCTTCTGCCAAGAACTTACACCCAAAGATATAACCAAATGGTTTCCATCTGTGATATTCAGTCCGTAGCAAACGAGGTAACAGTGTTTGCTATGGACTGCTATTGAAATGTTGAATAGCTTCATTTTTGGTTATTTTTCCTGCTCAAACCTTTCCCTTAACTGTATTTGTCCTTGGAGACTTTTAGAAAATTGTGAGTTAAGATATTTTATTGTTGATGAGGCTTATCTTTTCTAAACCAAATACAGGGAATAGCTAAATGAGGGAAGCACTTGCATTAGACTTGAAGAGTTGGTAGCCCAAATTACTTAGTTACCTTTTAGCATTGTTCTCTGTCTTCTGGGATAAGGATTGGGGGTATAGGAGTGGAGGTCGGTGGGAGCTATCTGGAGAGAAGCCTGGTACTGGCTGATTAGACCTGCTACCCTCTTTTTTATTTTACTCTCCCTTTTTGTTCTTTACAAATGGATTTCAAAAGGGTTCCTCCTATTTTGCCCTTGGAATGAAGTTAGTAACTTTCCACAGGAAGTGCCTTGTATGTAGAGCTGAACTTATGCCCTTTGCTTTGTACATCTTTGCCAAACATCCTTGAATCAGTAAGGAGGGGTTTGCAAGTCTCTTTAGGTATCTGTAAAAATAAACTGCCTTTGCCTTTTGGGGAAAACATTTTTGAGAAAATGTGTAGTTTTACTTCAACAAAGACTTCTAAAGATTAAACTGTGATGGATTGAACAGTTTCAGTGATGTTTTTGGTTAGGCAAAACCAGAATTTTAAAATGTGGATCTTTTATTCCATGACTGG